AGATGATGCCCTCGTGGTGACCATGGTCATCATGCATCACCACCCTGGTCCAGACCCTCATCACTTCTCACCTGGACGACTCAAACCCCTTCTAACTGGCCTCTCCATCTCCAGGTGGCCTCCCGCCAATCCAGCTTCCAGAGGTGGCCAGAGTGATCTTTCTAAAATGCAAACCTAATCGTTACTCCTCTTCGTACAGCTGTTTCCCTTCTCTTTACTGAGACTTGCAGGCTCCTGCCCTCCCTCCACCCCCACCCCTGCTCTTGCTCTCCAGCCAGAATGAGGCCCAATAAGCTCCTCTAATGAGCTATGCTCTTTGTGCTCTAGACCAAGGCTGGGGTATTCTGCAGCTCTCCTCACACCTGCTTTCTCTTCCAGGTCCTCCAATAAGCTTTCACTAACCCCCCAAGTCTGGATTCAATCCCCCAGTAGCCACCAAGGAGAAACTGTACCTTGCAATTAGTTAGCAATTGCACCTGCCTCTTTACTTGTCTCAAGCCTTAAGAAAATATAAGCTCCCTGAGCGCAGGAACCATATTTGTCTTTTTCAATTTTATATATTCAGATCCTACCCAAGAGCCTGGCTCATAAAAGGTGCTCAGTCAGTACCTATCAAAAGACTTTAATAAACGCATCCTACTAAACACAACTTCTCTGATAGAATGCAAATTCCATTTTGCAGCGAAACAGTGTTCATTTTTTATTTCAGGGTCCCTTTGACTACAGCATCCCTAGATTTCCACCCAGATTCTAGTTTCGCTGAATGCAGGGATACCTCATCCTGTGTCCCACTGGGAATAAGGGAAGGCAGGGATTCACAATTCAGCATTCGATGGGAATAGATGATAAAAAATACTGATGATAATGGCAACAGAACACGAACTGTACATTTACAACATGTTGGGGGTTGTGCTAAGCATACCATACACTACACTTCATCTAATCATCATCAGGCAACTCCGGGGAGCACACCGGTCACTCCCAGGGCATCCGAAGATCTGTAAAGGAGAGTCCACTAACGATGCCAAATTCCTCTTCTGAAAGTGTCCACAAAACAAAGCTAAACGCTCTCAACTAAATGGCCTCTCCCAACCCTCTCTCTGCCACTGTAGGCAGCCTTGAGTCACTCTAACTTTTCTCTATAAGCCTTGGGGGGAAGTTAGGGCCAGGACTGAAGGCTGCCAGCCCACTTCCCCCGGCCTTTCTATTACTGCTGACATCTGAGCCAACGTGGTTAGAATAATCTGGGAATTATTTGTATTAATGGAACTGAAACTTTCCTCTTCTTTCCAAAAAGGATAGTATACTTTGTCCAAATGTCCAATAGCTTACATCCTATAGTCAGCCAAAACACCCCCAGCCCCCAATTTTAATGCTACAGGGTTTGGGACTTACAGAACCAAATCAAAACACTTGTATTCAGATTGACTGCAACAAAATTCTATGAAATTTTCACTGTCTAGTCACAACCTCTAGCAACATTAAAATGCATTTGTTTGTTTGTTTGTTTGTGTTTTGTTTTTACAGCTAATAAATCCCAGTTTAGGAAGGTTAAATCTCCTAAGCTTTGGAACCTTACCAAAATGGGGTAGAGCAAGCGTGCAAGATAAAACAGCTTTTAAACATATTTTCAAAAGCCACCCAGTGTCAAAACAGAGCTGATGAACAAGAAGGGGTCTTTGCTTTCCAACTGAGAGACTGGCCTGTTCGTCTCCACCAGCTTGGTGCCTAGAGAGCAACTTGGCCGGCTTCAGTTTCAGGAAGAGCCAGAAGTTTCTGTGCTCGCTAAGGGAGGAGAAGCCCACTAAACATCCTGTTCTTCTTAATAGGCCTGCTGATATATATCCAAGTACTTGAAGTCAATGTTTTGAGAGATGCTTGCTTTATTCTGTTAATTAAGCTGAAACCTGATGTTGGACGGAAGAGAAATGGACAGTGTGTTCCATCCTCCCAATTTATGGAAAGGGAAGGAGGCAAGTGGTGAAGAGCAGATGCGTGGAGAAGCCCATCCGCGTTAGTAGACGACAGTCCTGCTTCTGTGCACAAATCACGTTCAGGGTGAACTCTAAACCAGGGTTTATGAAACCGCACATACGAGCATTTCTATGAGCCACGAAGCCGACACGAACTCTGGGTTTTAGATTGGTGTCTCTGGGCTGGCCTAAACAGTCTGTAACGTAAACCACTGTGAAGCCAAAGGAAGTGTCTTCTTTCTGAAACCATGGATTGTTCACGTAGACCTTAGGTGCACATAACTAACAAGAGACAATTGTTACTGAGTGCGGAGGTTTCCACTCATGAGAGGGAATGGAAGGAAGTTAGGCTTCAGGCAACACCCCAATGCCAAGGGTGATTCCACAAGTTTACTTTAGTTCACTTGTTCCGTATTCTAGACACAGCATGTCAGGCTCAATAAGCGGCATGATTCGTTTCCTAGGAAAGAGCTCCCTGTAACTTAACCCACCACAGAAGGGCCCTTATCCTGTGATCACCTAAGGGAACACGAGAATGGAAAAGAAAACAGAACCACAAGATCATCACCAACATGCACTGCTTTTAAAGTCTCCTGCCAGTATCCTAAAAAGCAAAGTTCTGCTTGGAAGAGAAGTACCAGGAGGATATCTGAACCAAGTTTGTAGAACATGAGCACCGGACCACCACGAAGTAGGTTCCAGGCATGTGTGTGGAAACGCTGTGCTCTGTGTTGGGTCAAAAATTGGAATGAGCCCTGGACAGTTTGGCTCGGTGGTTAAAGCATTGACCTGTACACGAAAGGGTCACAGATTTGATTCTGGTCAAAGGCACATGCCTGAGTTGCAGGTTCGATCACCAGTGTGGGGAGTGCAGGAGGCAGCCAATCAATGATTCTCTCTCATCATTGATGTTTCTATCTCTCTCTCCTTCTCCCTTCTCTCCGAAATAAAGAAAAATATTTTATTTTTAAAAAGGTCATTAGTACACAATCATCTTTTGAAAATATATATGTCCACTTACATAAGCCTGGAAAAACATCTAGACAGAGACAAATAACAATTTGTGAGCATGGTCATCTCTGAGTTCTCCAATTATTATCAATGACTTTAACTATTTCTCCCTTTGCTTATCTGTTTTTCTGATTTTTCTTCAATGAACATATATGACATTTATATAAAAGATATATGAGAACAAAATAGTCATACAAACTAAAAACAAAAGCATGGCATACTTCTGCTGAATTGATGAAATTAGTGTAGACATTTATAATACAATGTGAGAAGCTTGTGACCACATAAAACAACACACAAAGGGCAGGTATGAACAAAGGACTTTCAAGGCAGAAAGACAGTGAACTTGACTTTGAGCCCTAATCCAGATGTTTCCCAGCCATGGCCCTTGTGAGCCTTAGTTTATGAACAACGGATAGACTTTGTTTTGACCTGCAGCAACACTGATAGCAATGATCATGCCCTCCCTTCCTGGAACACATTGACTTAGCTTCCTGCTCACACCTCCCCTGGCTTTCCTCCCGCTCCTCAGTGGCAGCTCCCTCTCTGTCTCATTCTCCCTTACTAGTTCCCCTACCTCTTCCCAGTGCCCAGGGTCAATCCTTGACCTCTTCTCCATTCTATCTATTCTCACCTCCGAGGAGATCTCATCCAGCTTATGGCTTCAATTCCATGTATGCTCCAACTCTTCCTAAATATCTATCTTCAGTTCTGACCTCTTCCCAAAATTCCAGACTGGAATATCAAAAACTGCCCATTGGACATAATCATTTGTCTAACAGGGCAACTCAAACTTAACATGGCCCAAAATCAGCTTGTGATCTCCCTCCAGCCCTCAAAAATCTGCTCCTCCCAGTTATCCTCATCACAGGTAATAATAACCAAATATTTCTAAATGCTCAGGTAAAAAATTTGGAGTCATCCTTGTCTTCTTTCTCTCATGCCTTAAACCCAAACCTGTTGACCATATATGTAAAATATACTCAGAACCCTACACTTCTCACCACTTTCATAGCTATCACCCTGGCTCAACCATCATCTCCATCCTAGATCATTGCAATAGCCCCCAAATCCGTCTCCCTCCCACCCTTGCCCAGTCTATTCTGAACTCAGCAGCCAGAGTGATAACTATTAAAGTATCCATCCATCATGTCACTCTTCTGCTCAAAACCCTCAATGTCTCTGCATCTCCCACAGATTAAAAGCCAACATCCTTGCACTGGCCTACATGTGGACACCCCCTTCCTCATCTCCCACTACCCCGTTCTTCACTCACGCCAGCCAGTGGCCTCCCTGCAGTTCCTCAAACATACTGGATAGGTTCCTATCTCAGGGCCACTGTACTAGCTGTTCCCTCAACCGGAAATACTGTTTTCCCAGATAATCACCTTTTTACCTCCTTCAGGTCATTAACGTCTTTCACCAAGGCGATCCCCCAACCACACCATTAAGTATTGTAACAAAACTCCCCCAATAACACACACTCCCTATCCCCTGTTCTTACTTTTTTCTATAGCAGTTTCACTATCCAACGTAACTTGTATTTCACTCACTTCTTTTATTTATGATCTGTCTTCCCACAGCTAATATAAGTTCCACAAAGCGGGTCTTTTTTATTGTTTTGTTCCCCACCTAGTACCTAGAACAGGGCCTGCCACATTGCAGGCACTGAATAAATATTTATTGAATAAACAAAGGAGATTAAATGGTACCTATCCTTACCTCTCTCAGAGTTACATAAAGGACACAGGAAATAAAGAATGTGAAAGTAACTACTATGGCTGAAACCGGTTTGGCTCAGTGGATGGAGCGTCGGCCTGTGGACTGAAAGGTCCCAGGTTCGATTCCGGTCAAGGGCATGTACCTGGGTTGCGAGCACTTCCCCGGTGGGGAGCGTGCAGGAGGCAGCTGATCGATGTTTCTCTCTCATCGATGTTTCTAACTCTCTATCTCTCTCCCTTCCTCTCTGTAAAGAATCAATAAAATATATTTAAAAAAAAAAAAGAAAGTAACTACTATGTAATTTGACACTTCGATAAGTATGTGAGTAGTGTTACCACGATCATTGTTATTATATTGAAGATGTGTCCCTGTCTTGCCAGTTATGGCCTGAATCAGTCCTCCTTGAACTACAATTCTTCACCTCCCTTTTAGTTATCTACTTTAGTACAAAGTCTGATATCTGAGAATTTGCACAACACTAGGATTCTGGAAAGAATCAGGTTCATAGATCCACTCAAGGTCTAATCGTACAAATGATTACCTTACTCACAAATTGGGTTGGGACTTTTGTCTTCTCTTGGAGAAGACTAGTGGGAGGGAGAAGGGAGATTAAAAGATTAAGCATGATCACTTAGGAGTGTCCGACCTCCCTTTACAGAATGTCATAAATACCCGCTAAGCTCCAGGCAACGCAGGGAGAAGACTGTCCTTGACTTTTGCTGGGCCTTGATGATACAACCATGCCTCACCCAACGTGGATTTGTGTGTAAACTCTCAATGGACAAAAGGTTGGGTTCAGCTCAACCATCTCCATCTGGAAACCAAGAGTGTACAAAACACTCCATTAACTCCCGGAGCTACAGAAAATAGCATGTTTTATTATGGCACTCCCAAAATTTTGAACACACCAGAGTTCGAACCCTCTTCTAAATGCAAACGTCTCACAGTCGGTAACAAGCTCAGCTTGAAGACAAATTTGCTAACCTCTATTCCATCTTGGCTAGAAGGATTATTTAAAACTCCTCTCTGTGAGTTCCCCCAAAGCCATAGCCCTTTAGAGGCCAATAATAATACCTTTACTTGCAAAACTAACATTTAGTTACTGTGGCTAAACTGCAAAGCACTATGAATCCTGGGGAGGAGGATAATTAATCTAATTGAGCTGAACATATAAGGGCTTTCAAGTGGATAAAACTGCACCTTGGAAATTAAAAAAGCAAAAACGTGCATCCTGGGACCCCTGAGCCCAGCAACAGTGCCAGCTCCATGTAAGGAATGGGCAGAGGCGGAGCTCGGGCAGTCTGATCGAGCTTCACTCTTACCTGTCAGCTATGAAACTTTTCATCCTAGAAGTAGATTTCCTCCCTCACAACCTCCAACCCCTTTAGAAAGAAGCAACTCATAAAATCATAGCCTAAAGGTCCTAACATCAAAGTTAGAAAACTGACCGATTTAAGACGTAAGCAGCTTAATTGTGAGATTTCGCTTGTCGGCGACATAACCAAGCCTGACCTTGTTCTTCTCACATTGCTGGGTTGAAACTGCGTTACCCAAGAAGTGGGAGGAAGAAGAGAGTTCATCAGAAAAAAATTACACAATTTTTTTCCCCCAGAAAAAGCATTCCTTTTCCATGGTCTGTGACTAATTACATGAGAATACTGCATCTCATCCTCATCAATCTTGGCCTCCCTATTCTTTATTAAAAATAAAACAAACAAACAAAACAGCCAAATTATTTTGCATCTGGACCCTCTCTAAGGAGTAACATGTTCCCAAGAAGGATCGGATGGCCAGGGAAACTGTTTCAAGGGTGTGACACAGGCAAGCTCGTGATCCATTCTGCTGGACCATTCATCCAAGCACACAGGGAGGTTTTCAGCAGGTATCACGAAGAACCCCACTCTGCTGGTATCTTACAGCTTCCTTCAGCATCTGAAATCCTCTATTTATTATAGTGAAACTAGAGAAAATGAATGAGTCCATACTAGACCAAAGGATTACAAATATAGAAATCCCCTAATATTCTGACATGACCTTTTTTTCTTCAAATTATTATTATTATTATTATTATTATTATTATTATTATTTTGGCACTTGCTGTTGACTCCACACTGGGTTTGATATTTTCATCACACACAAGTCAGGATATCTGGAAGTTAATGTTCCAATAGTCCCTCCTCCCATTCACCCCTTACGGAGACGTGCACCTGGCTTGGTGTGCCTCAGTGCACCCATCACAGCATGTGATCATTTCAATAAATAAAACTCAAGGGCAACAAGACAATGCCAGGTTCTTGGGAGACACAAGATCTGACACATGTTAATACTTCATTATCCATCCAGGCCCTCTGCCAAGCAGAAGGCACACAGATCACCTTTCCACATAAACACTGCAGGCCTTTCTTGCAATGAGGATCAAGTCCAGTATATTTATTTCATTTATCACACGATCCTTTTCCCTCTACTGTAAAGAGATTCAGAGAATAAAAGCTTTGTTAGTACAGCATTATGCTTGAGAATTCTAAACAAACCAGGGAGGCAAATTACTTATGGTTTTCATGCCAAGCATACCGCAGACAGGCGCCATACAAATACTCCTTCCAGCTTAGAACACCAGTCATGCCTCTCGGAAATGCTGTTCTCTACATGAGCAAGAGACACAGATGCCATTGACTTAGGAAAGATGGGTCCACATGTTTACACGTCACCTCACAGGCGGGCCCTGTAGTTCAGTGGGTTGCCCAAGATTGGGACTGGAGAAACCTGAGTGGTTACAGGACATCCTTAGATCCTGACACATTCTGAGTTTAGGAATTTTTAAATAACAATTATATCCCAGTTGCTTTATCTCAGAAAGATGGAATGAAAGTGACTGCAAATGTATAGCGACAACAGAAATATCTAAACTTTAAGCAGTTGACAATGACTTGAGCTACAAACATCAAATTAATCTATCACCCAAACCTTCCAGTCTTTACAGATGTGCTTTTAAACTGTCCCTAAATACCAACCAACCCCCCAACTCTCCCACGAGAGTGCGTTTCCAGTTCTTACTGAGTTAAGTTTGTCAGGAGGCATTTTTCATCATGCAGAGTTCTAAAACCTTTCTTTTAAAGTCCTTCTGTTTATTTTCAAAACCACACACATACTATACAGAGTGGCTGAGACAAGTCACCACAGAGAATACAACCAGGACTAGTGTCCGTCTTTGCACCAAATGCTTGGAGTAAAGAAATGTGCTTCAGGGGGCAGAGGACGTTCTTGGCACCTGTAACAGGTGTGCTTCTCACTGCAGGTGGATGAGACCTCAGCTGGGGATGTGTTTCATGATCTGCAGCATGAAACCGCCAGGAATCGGAGGATCTAGTGTCTCAACTGGCTTCCAAAGCCAAAAATTACACTGTTGCTGTCTAAGCCAGAGAGCACCACCACCGACCGGCAGAGACAAGATAAGATGTGAGATTAGGTAAAATGAAGTCAACCGAAGTTACACAAACAAAGGAGGAAAGGGGCAGGATGACCTCATGGGTTACAACCTTCTCAGAATAAGATGCCATTCTATAATGATTCAAAGGAAAGAATACGGAGTCACAGCTAACGCTATTGGACATACACACCTAACTTAGTTTACTGTCAAAGAACTCACACAAAGCTGTACGTTCCAGATCCCAAAATAGAATTAAAATAATTTCAGAGGGATGATTTATTAAACTGATAGTGACTTACAAACTAAAACAGAGAGACATAAATTCAATTTAAAAAAACACAGAGACATAAGACTACAGGCTTATGTGTCACATCTTACCCACACACATCTCGCTTTGCTGAGCTGAAAACCACATGCTCTGTAGGACTACACAACACCTTCCCAGGCTGCAGCGTTTACGTGGGTGGGATGATGTGATTCTTCAGAAGACAGGCTTTGCCAGAAGGCAGAGTGGTAGTTCACCTGAGCTAACAGCTCAATTCTGCAACTACTTTTCCATATCATCTTTACTGCACCCATTTGTTAATTCAACAAATCCTTAGCCAGCACTTCCTCGGTGCCAGGTATTGTGCTCTCAGCATTGCTTTCCCAGCAGACACAGTTGTCCCCAGGCCCAATTCACTTCTTTGTTGGATCAATTTTCCAACCTCTCGTCACGTTTACTTTTCCAGTGATGCCCAAAGCATTCAGTCCCCAAGGCCACCAGCATCCTAGCTTCCTCTTGATGCTCCTTTTATTACATTTTGGTGGCAAGAGAGCCCACATCCCTGGTGTCCAAGCTCATCTCTCGAGATAATCAAAGCAGCTCATGTTTTTTGCCTTCTCTCTTCCTGCCAATTCTCTCTGTTCCTCTACCATCCACTGACTCGGCATCTGTTGACCTTATCATCCCATCAGGCACCTTGATCGGGAACGGCTTACCCCTTTCCTTATTCAGGCAACTCCGAAATCCTACCTTCCCTACTCAGTTCTTCTGATAATGATCTAAGCACCTATCTCAGTGTATCAAGCACCTCCCCATGACAAAGCGTCTGTAATAATACTACTGAGCATTTCATAAGGCACTTCCAATTACCCCATCGCAGCCCATCCTCAAATACACTGTGAAATAGGTATTAGTTAACTCATTCCACACACAAGGAAAACAAGCTGTATAGATGAACTTGTCTGAGATAATACAGCGAGCGAGGGCCTGAACTGGGACTCAAACCCTGTCACTTGGTTGCTAAATCATGAATCATGACTTCCATTCCTTGCTCTTATCTCGGCCAAACCGTGCTCAAGAAAAGAGAAGCATGATCAAAAGGAAAAAATCGACTACAAAAATTATAATTACAATGTTTAAGAGGAAAAAGGTGGAGTTTTGTTACTAAGGTGGGAAAGAGATGTATATTCCAAAAGATTAAGATTTAGGGACTTGCCCACATGTCTGGCCACAGAGTTGCCCAGTATCTCAGTTACCACAAGTCACACTCTAGCCCATGAGCCTGGCCTGGCAGGATCTTCCAATTCCACCCAAAAGCTCCTGTTTTCCCTTTATTCTTTGAAGAGCACAGTAACTGGAAAGAGGAATGCTTTACATCTACTAGGCAGAGGACAGGCACTCTGATTTTCTTGCCTACAGTTTCCCGAAGACACTACGCAGCAACTACATCTGGTTGAAGAAAGGAGGACACTGACAGTCAATCTCAGCCAGTTTCATGTTTGATGACAATCATGTATCCAATTATTCATAGGTAAAGGGATAGGGAGTTGTTTTTTCTACTTAGCTAAGTAATGCTAACTCAATGACAGTCAATAAATATTTTGGATGAGTCTATGATAGGTCTGCCTGCACCCTTGCCAACTCTGATTATAGGCAAAGGGATAACAAATAGAAAACGCTCATGGCTTCCATGATTTTACTATCTGACTCTTGGAGATATTTCCCATTAGGGTTTTGTTTCATCTGTTAGGATTTGTTTTAATTTTATTTGCTTATTTCTTCATTTTTCCTTCATTCTTTCATTCATTCACTGAGCTTTTTATCGAAGTAGAACATGCAAAAGAGGATTTGTGATAAAATATAAAAATGAGCCTTTATAAAATATCACCCCTTTCTACCACATGACACCTGCATGTCTTTGAGAAAGTCACAGTACCTCTTGGAGGAGGTTCTTCACTAGTAAAAGAGGGATACTAGAGTAGACACTATTCATTTTAAAGTGGTTTTCTGAAAGTCAAATCAATTGATGAATCTGAAAGGAATTTAATATTATTAGCATGGATCTATATGGCTCAGAAAAATCTAGTAGCAAAAAGTATATATTTACATTCAAGAGACTTCCTAGAGGTATGTATGTGTGTGCATTACATGCACATGTGTTATCATGTGTTATCAGCACCTGTAGTGGGAATGGCTTTGTGACTTCCAGGTAGTATTATCATTACCCATGTGCAACTATATTTCTGCAAGCGTCCAAGGTCAAGGTAGTAACAAAACTTGGCAACAGCTGCCTATGTACCTGAACTTGAATTGTGTGAATATTATGGTTTTATCCCAACATCTAATTTTCAATCATTCCACCTCTAGAGCTCTTCCCCCCCGCAACTCGCCCCGGCCCCCACTTTGCTCTTGTTTCAAGAGCGTGACTGGTGGAGAAGATATTTGAAACTTCCCAAAACTGTGATCAGTGATCATGGGGTGTTATCACCTCACTCTGCTGGTGACAGAAAAGTGGCTGAGAGTTACATGAAACAAGTCCCACTAGGAAAGAACTTCCTGATGAAAAACTTAGTGCCCTCCAGACTGGCAACTGAAAGGAACCACGAGTTAGTGAAGGAGAAGTCCCTGACATAACCAACGAAGGCAGTTTTATTAGCTTCATTCAGTGAAGCAAAACTTGGACCAAAAACTTCATTATTCAATCCAGATGCTGGTTTTGTAACATTCATGTCAATGATGAACTGCTTCAATTTTCTTTTATTTTGAATATGTAATATAAAGCAGACAAATCACGACATTAATAAAGGCATTTAAATTAGTAGAGTTGGTTTGAAAAACAACTGAATGTAGGAGAGCTGTTTCCAAAAGTTTATTGCCCAAAGCATTTCTTTTTCCTTCTATAATCATGTCACAAAAGAAGCACAATAATGGGTTTAAGACAAGATCAATTATGGTCAGCAATAAAATGACCCTTTAGTGGCAATTAGCCCCACATCTTGATTACTGTCAGCTCAAATAATCTGGTCATAAGGCCTACAAAGTACGATGCTCATCCATCTCACACAAGAACAAAGGAGAGCCAAGGAGGCGGAGAGGCAAAGGAGGCCGACCACACAGACCTCAGTCTAAGAGAAAGAAACTGCCCATAAAAACGTTTACTAAGCACAAACGTTACTTTAAAAAAAGGTTTGCTGATCACCTTTCTCTTAAAAACGATTATTTTCTCTCATGAAAAGAATGGTGAGGAACAGGTCTCAACCCCTGAAACAAAAGCAAGGATCTCTGGCGGAAAATGCAGCCAGGTGGATCCTGGGAGAAGGTGGGAGTAGACAGTGGGGAATGGAGTCCAGAAAGACTTTGGCCTTGGGACATCGTCCCAAAAGGAAAGGGGCTGTTTGAGGGGCAGAAACTGGTCCTGTGAACTGCTACCCTACAAACAACGCAGTGGAATCACCAGGAGGCAATTTCTGTTGATATGGTCTGCTGCTCCATGGATACAGAATTAGAGAACTTCAGAGATGGAAAAGATCAACACTTCCATTTTCACAAACAAGGAGACTCAGGAGCAAGTAGCTAGGCTGAAATTTCTTGGGACTAACTAGTGGCAAAGTCAGTTTCCAATACACATGTCCTGATTCCTTACTTACTGGCTTTCTTCCTCCCTCAAAGTATGAGGAGGCTTTGAAGAGCAGTGATGAAGGACTATTATTGCCCAGGAATCACTGAAGGCTGTCACAATTATGAAAGGACATGCTGTTCTTTTGCCTTGAATGTGCCCATTTGGTGAGTCAACACCAGGGAGTTGCAAAGGAAAAATCTACATTCCTATGGGAACTATCAACCCTATTTACAACATCTACTATGGACCAGACATCAGTGTTCCTTCGCCTCACAACCCAGGTATCTATAGTCTCATGTTACTGAAAAATGAGGCTCA